TAACAAACCACATATTCTTGGCCCACATGTTGTAGTCCTGCCATCTACAATATGTGGGATAATAATATTGATATGCCTTAAGGCTTTGTTGTAAGAATTACAACTAGATAATGCTTGTGAAACACTCTGAAGAGTTGAAAGCATTAGAAACATGTGAAGTATTATTACCCTAAGAAAAATAGCCTTTAATACAATCCTACACAAACTTCCTCCCCACCCAAACCCCTGCCAAATAATATGAGGGATGATTTAATGTAATATTTACAGTCATAGAATCACTCTATAAAGAGAGATCCCATGAATGGAACAGTTCAACAAGTTCCCAACACCATTGCTGTCTAAGAGGTAAGCTTCTCTTCCAACCATCATTTCCCACAAATACACATGTACAGACTATCTGAAATGTAATCCTGCAATAAACTAGAATTATACCATATCAAATACTATACTACATTTAACCTGTGTCCAACTGACAGCTTTCTGACTACCCAGGATAGAAAGTAGCAGAAATTCACAGATTATTTTGTGGTTTTCTGTAAATGGTCCCTAGAAGTATATTCCTTTAATTTTTAGAGAACTGAAATGACTCTGAAGATAGCATACACATAAAACATATGCAAGGTAGACTAGTAATAGAGGTATCTGTAAAGAAGGGTTGAGATGAGCAGATCTGTGATATGTGTTTCTATGGCCTTCCTAATTTCTCACCTTGTAGTCTATTCTGTGTTGGTTCCTTAATAATTTTGAGGGTGGGTTAATGCACCTTTTTCAAATCGTCCACGTTCAAATCGTTTCAAATCGTTAATGCACCTTTTTCTGTTTTGAGGTGATACAGATTAGAATAACAAAAATCAGATGTAGCAGATTTTTCACATATTCGTGGGAAGGATGGTACTTCAGAAACAAAGCACATACTTGGAGTGAAAAGGGACAGCCACTGAAAGTAACTCTAAGTACTACTGAGTTAGATGGACCAGCACCCTGACTTGGCAATTTCCTATCATCTACCTTGCTTAGGAAAAATGCACAAAGAAATGATGTAAGAGCCGGCAGTGAACTAGCTGGAAATGGATAGACATGCAGGAAATACTGTACAGAAATAACAGCATTCTCTAACGGATTAAAAACAACAGAAAAAAGGGAAATGATTCACAAGCCACAGGTGCTCAGGTCTTTATATGGCTCATTTCAAAGGGAAATTTAGTCATTCTTCCAATTCCATATATGCCAGCACACTGGTCTTGGCACCAAACATAGCTGCAGAAAGGCTTATGTATATACAGTCACATTTTGTGCACTGTACCCCATGAATGAGCGTACCAATTCTAGGGTTTGGTCTGTCTTCATACTTGCTGATTCCCAGTCATTCAAACAAACAGAATGCCCACAATCATATTTATGGACCTTGCCAGAGTAAGTCCCACATTTCAGGATACAATGGCATCACAGGGCTGGGTAGGTGGGCCGAGCTGCACATGGATGCAATTACAGATGCTGCTAACAGTTGACATCACCCAAAGGAAACATGCTACAAAACTATAACTATGATGGACAGCAAAATAGGTACAGGAAGGTGAGTATTACTGACTCCGTATTACTCTTTCTGGTTATGTTTTCCATCAGTTGTTATTCCATTATAAGAGCCACAACATAATCATTAGTCCCACAGATAAATGTCCAGAAACTGCTCTTTTAATTGTACTATTCAGACTATAAGTACTAATCTAGCTCTTACAGATTTAATGCTTAAGTAGAAGATTTTCAAATATTCTCAGTTTCTTTTCTAAGGGAATTACATGGGATAAGAAAAAGCTGGCAGAGTATATCTTCTCATATTACCAAGAATGAGAAAAGAAATTCATTAGACAGTACAAGAAACCTCTTTTTTAAAAAGAAAAACTTTTTGATAAGTAAAAAAATAACTGTGTGTCCTGAAGTCCTGCTCATATTTCCCTATTCATTATGGCTACATTTTCTCATGAATTGGGAAACCACGTAAACAAAACAATCTTGCAAGAAGTATCTTTTACTATGTAATCAAGACTTCTAAAATCAAGCATTTTAAGCCTGCGTATGAAATCTATTGACAATGCAAACCTAGAAACATCTACTCAGATGTACGACCCATTGAGTTTAATCCGACTGACTCTCAGTACTCCAGCCAGGTAAGGGGTCAGTAGGGGAGTAAAATAGTGAATTCTCTGCCACTTAAAACTATTCCGGCTCAGCCTGGGCAAGTGGCAGTACTAGACTCTGTGTTCTTTTCAGTTTTGATTTTATGTCATTCTTACCTCGCCTCCCACAACTGATTCTAACAGAGAGAGGGCACAAACTTCAGGGAAATGAAACTCATAAACGGAAACTACATTTCCAAACCACAGAACCACCAGTCAGCAGTACCACCATCTAAGTTCTAATCTTGGGCACTATCCTTTCAAGGCAAATTTGTTATCTCATCCAATTAAAATAACAATGAGAAAAGAGCTGGGCGTCATTGGCATACTTCCCTCCATATAGCTGAAAACCTCTTTCAGTAGTTTCATGAGGAAGTTAAATAGGACCCCACAGCATAAATGCCTTGGCACTCAACTATAACACTCCAAGCATCTGCATTTGGAACAAAGCCATTAGGATGTGAGTCTCAAAAACAGCCTTGAAGTTATGTTAAGTTCTGGAGTTCTAGATGCGATGACCTATAGCTCCTATCAGTTTAGCAACAAAGCTGTGAGGGAGCTCATGAGACCTGTGGGACAACAATCTGGAGAGCTGCAAATTGCCTACCCCCGTGTAACAGTTACTGGTCGCAAACCATTTACTAGAGTTGGTGGCTCTCCTACCCAACCATTGCCAGTGTTCGACATGAGGTACACCAATGAACCCAAAGGAAACACACACAGACATCACTTTTTCAGTTAATAAAACCTCATTGCCTGTCATCTGGAAGGAATTCTCACCCACTCATGCAACTGCCTGTAGTGTTTATCTGTTGCACACAGATCCCATCCTTCCTCCACAAAGCTCAGGGCAGCATACAAGATTCTTTGCCACTCATATCCCATTTTATCCTAATAAGCCTGGATCATGGTGAGGCTGAGGTACTGACCTGAGGTCAACCAAGTGAGCTTCATGCCCAGATGGGAATTTGAACTTGGGGCACCCTGGTCTATATCCAAAACTTCAATCCAGACTTCCCAAATCTGGTACCCCCTTGACATTTTGGTCTTCCCAAAAGTGCCAGGTAGCATAGGCAGAAATGCTATGATTTGCAGTTCAAAATATCTGGAGAGCATCAGGGTGGGAAAAAGTTGCTTTCTACTAGATGTACTAGTGCCAGCAAGTTATATCTTGCTGTTCAGAGGGACATGTTGTGGCATTATTACACAGGTTGAGAAACTGCATCCTTTAGAATGTACTAAACTACAATTCCCAACATATCTTACCGTTGGCTGTGATGGCTCTGCAGCTGGAGGCCACAACATCTAAACAGCCGCTGGTTCCTTTTCCTTTGCTTCAGTGTCTGTTGTTTGTGGGAGCAGCTGGACAGTAATTCAACAGTGGCACATCTTGCCTCCCCCTCCCCCCACCCACAGCAACTTCAGCACATTCCCAAGCCAATGTGGCTTGGCCAGGGCCACCCCAAGACATTCTGTTGCTTCAGGTGAAGGAAAGTTCCATTCCATGTCCAAAAGCAACCTGGACAGGCAGATATATCTGTCACCCACAACACTGTGGAAAACAACAGAACAAAATTATCCACAAAACTTGAAGGCAGCAGGCCGCTTTAGGAGGTACACAATAGCGTGTGTGCAAGACACACACTGCTTTCCTTGCACACTCCGCTGCTGCCTCCCAGCATCTGCTGCCTGAACGGGGCCAGCCCAGACTCGGTGGCCACACCCATGTGCCACTTGGGCCTCCAAGTGGGAGTTTACCCGTTCAGCACTGACAATTTCACTCGCCCTCCAAGTGTAGAACATCTTTATTTATTGGAATACTAAATGGAACTTATTCAATACAACTATATTTTTAATACCAGCAGCCATTTCCCACCCTTCCCCCTACTCTGGTTTCTAAGCCAACCATCGACATTCTTTAGGGGAGAAGGCACAATGCCGGTCTTGAAAATGCGACTTTCCCCCTTTCACTCGGCCTCCTCCGCCTGCGTGATTCTGCGAAGAGGCCACGCGAAAGTAGCGGCCGGTTGGCTACTCCGAACACAGGGCGGCGGAAGAGAGAAGCCTCCCATCAAGGGATCTCCCCAAGTTCTTAGCAAAGGGGATGTTCCTCGCTCTTGACCGGTTTGCACTGCAACTTCTCGGGGAAACCTCTTTCCTCGCACGCAGCCACCAAACAACCCAAATAAAGTTAGCCGAAGTGGAGGCACTTTTTCCAAGAGAGATACGACGGCGCCACAGGAAGCCAGCCGGGACAGAGCAACTCAATACAGCGGGCGCGCTCAGCTAACGGGCTCGCTCATCGCACTCTACACCCCACGGCCTCCGGGGGAGACCACAGGAGCAACGCCGCTGGTCGCTCGGTCTCAAGCCCAGAACGACTCAACGGGGTGGAGACAAAAGCCAAAGCGGCGAGATTTGGCGCAAACAACTCTAAGACCGCTTTCTTCGCCTCCCCGCTGGCCACAAAAAACGAAGACGGGAGTGGATGTGCAGCTAACAGTATGAACGAAGAGAGGAAAGGAACGAGAAAACTGGGGGAGGTGGGCGAGCAGCCCGGCTCCTCCCCGGCGGGATCGCGGCTCCATCCCACGGCGAGGCTGAACCCCAATCCCTGCTTTTCCTCTGCGCCCCGCAATCACTTGGAGGGTCTCTCCCCCTTCTCTATTTGGTTTCTCCCGCCTCGCTGCAATCACTTGGCGGGTCTCCCCAATCTCATTTCTGCTAAAGAGCAAAGCCGCTCCAGCCTCGCCGGGTTCTGGGCATCGAAAGCGGCGCATGAGCGGGTCGCCGCTGCTACTCCATCTTCTCCGACCGGCGGCTCACCTCGCTCAAAAGGGAGCAGCACACAGTGGCGGGAATCACGGGCAGCGGCGATGCGGACAGCAGTGCGCGGAGCCGGCGCCAGCGTCTTCCATAGCGGTGCACGGTGGCGGATGCTCTCCGCTAAAGTCCGCGCGGAGAGTGCCGAGGCCGCGGTCCCCGGCCCCTCCTACCGCAGCCTCGCTCTCCTCCTCCTCGCTGCCGCGGCCGCCACCTCCGGGCCACTCCCTGCTTCGACGCTGACGCGCACGTGGCTTCCCCGGGCTGCTGCTGCTGCGCACGGAGGCCGGCGGGAGGTTTCCGCTGAGCTTGCCCTTTGCCCCAGCCGGGCCAGAGGCTGTTGGCGAAGCAGCCGAAACGCGTCTTTCAGCGCAGCTCACCCCGGGAGAAACCCAGGGCGCGATTGCGCGCGATCCCGGTTGTGTGGGAGGAAGACTCACCGAATCCAGTGGAACTTACTCCCAGATAACTGTGTGTAAAGTTGCAGATTAACTGCAAGCCGAACTTCTTCCTCCTGAATTCAGTGAGGTTTACACCCGGATTAATGTCCGTAGGAGTGCTGTCTTCGTTTATTGATGACTGAACGCTAAAAAACGAAACAATACACAAAAGCAGTGATGTTGGCAGATAGGACGAGTAAGATCCAGGTTCAAATAAACACCCTGACAGGAATCTCAATGTTTAACCCCACTTTCTTGACCTAACCTACCACTCAGGGTTCTTGTGAAGAAAATGGTGTAAGTGGAGAGAGTCTTAAGGGAGTTGAATGTGGGATACAAATGCAATGAATTATAGTAGCGCAATGCTTTCTTAGAACTGAAACATCACAGCTTTTAAGTTAATCAAAACTCTTCTAAATTCGCCATGGGAAGCAAACTTAAAATGAAGGAAAAGGAAAAAAGTAAGGATGGAAGTGAGTACATGATGGAAACACCTGATCTTGTATGCTTTTTGCACAATTGTGCTGGCAATTTCAATGAATTGAAAAGAGGCAGGAGGTAAGGTGTGTCGCACTCCACCAAGCAAAGAGATCAACTCAGTGTTGGAGATAATGGCTTCAGCCCTCCATATGCCAGGTGGGAAGACTGGGCATTAGATAGTGAGGGCCAAAGAGCTCCAAGCCTGATGTACAGCTTGCTAAGGAAGGGACTGCTCTATCTTGACCCCTCAAGTAGTGATCTGGCTGCCTGCTGTGGAAACAGATCCTCCTCCTATGAGAAGGGGGGAAAGTTACCCATGTATGAACAAGGAGTTGGGCCTGTGGTTGAGATGGCCCAAAGTGTACCATACAGACTCTCCAGAGGTCTTTGCAATAATTTCAGTTCATATGGGTCAAGGGTGGGAAGCATATGCCCTTCTGGGTTTTGGACTCCAGCTTCCATCTTCCCCCATCTTTGGTCAAACAAACTGAGCTTTCAAACTAATGGAGCTCTGCAGGTTCACTAAGCTTGGTAATAAGTGCTTAGGAATCACTTTTTATTTGCAGGAATCACTTTTTATTTGCACTAAGCAATAAGTGCTTAGGAATCACTTTTATTTGCACTGCCTCCCAACCTTCCAACAACAATTAAGTTACACTGGCTCTGACTGCAAACCTGCCTATTGTCTCCTTTGAAAAATGACCCATTAATGTTCCACAAAGCAGACAATAATTACAGTTAGGACTTATAACAGAAAGTTACTGTTCAGAGAGCTCCATTACATTTCCCCTTTTTCTGGTTTTCTATCTGTCTGTCTGTCTATCTATCTTAGTATTATAAACTGCCCTGTTCCCACAGGCCATGGGTCCTCAAACTACGGTCTGGGGGCCAGATTAGTTAGTACTGTGTCTTCTCTAAGTATGACTAAAACTGGCTTCAACAGTAAGTAATCTGGGATCCACCTACCACAAAAACCAGCATATTCAGCATGGTGGAACGATTGTAGCCTATAGAACTTTGACCAGTCCCCACGAACATCCATGTTTATTCATTTTGTAACATAAGTGGACCTAGTGACAAAAATAGCATCTTCCTCATGGTACTAAATCATGAGCTGGTTCTATGCTTTTCTCAACTTTAAAAAGGACTTACCTAGGACTAGGACAGACTTGGGTGTGTAAACCATTTGGTCCATGTTTTGTTTTTGTCATGCTTGTTTTTATTGCAGTCTGGTTATTGGGCAACAAGTTCCTGGGGATTTCATAACACTCTGAGCAACTCTAGATTTCAAAACCTCCCTGGTACCTTGTATCAAATGTACGATAGATACTACTACAATACAGATGTAAATATAGGAGAGCTGACTCGAACATGTTAGTTGCAGGTTTTATTTTGCAGTAAATCTGCGAAGGATTATACCCTGAGAGCCAGTGTAGCTTGGTGGTCAGAGCGTTGGACTGGGGGCCTGGGAGATCTTGATTCTAGTCCCCACTTGGCCATGAAGCTCCCTGGGTGATTTCTCATCAATCCCAGACTCTCAGTCGAACCTTCCGCACAGGAGTGTTGCCGTGGATGGAGAGGTGGAAGAGTAAGTTCCTTGCAAGAGGAAGAAAGGCAGTGTATAAATCTAATATAACAACAGCCACAGGTGGCAGGGATTATGTTATCTTTTAAACTTCGTACAGTCCTTAGAAAATTATAGGAGCTTTATAAGATTCCTCTGCTGATCATCATCACTCTCATTTGTTTCTTCCTGTTTTAAATCCAGAAGTGCAACCGTGTGTGCATGTTGAACATAAACTAAGGACTGTACAACACCTGAATGACTAGCACAAGCTTTTGTGGGCCAGGGTCCATTTCATCAAATGGGTGAAGCTTTATCCTTCATTAGTGGGTTTGCATACATATGAGTGTGGAAGGGAGGGGAGGGGAAACATAACGAGCGAGGGGTCAAGCCTAGGGAAAAGCCACTGAGGTTGGCCCCAGATCTGAAGCATGTTCTTGATCCAGTTCAGGGGTCCACCCCACTTTTCTAATTCATGTCTCAAGAGATAGACTAAGAATCAGATGATAAATCAGTTTCATGCTGGAATTGCTTTTTGAAATTCCTGTGTAGTAGGAAGAAGGGGAGTTTTTAGGTCAGCTCCAGGAGATTGAAATGTTCTCATATCAGTGCTCTGGGGGGAAAACCATAATCTTTTCAAGCCTTTATTTTATAGCCTCTCATTTCAGCTTCTGTAATTCATCAACCCAGAGATGGTATTTGTATTTTGATAAATGGGGAGATTTTCTGCTAAACAGACAGAAAAGTTAATCTTCATAATCTTAAACAGATCTTAAGCTTGAAAAGAAATAATCTCCTTTTAGAAAACAAATCCCTTATTTTAAGTCACATGTAAACATTCCATTACTACATATTTTCTTCAAAGCTCTGCATCCCCTACCATTTGCATGTGATTCTTATGACAAAAAGGATCAGGTTTTTTTTGTGTTCCACATTGTATTATGCATATTTTCCTTGTTGCAGTTCCATGCTGAACAAGACAAAACATCACACATATAGTTATCTAGACCCTTAAGGCAATGGATATTTACTGTATGTTCCACTGGCATTCGCATTTGCAGTCTTGGGTCAATTATGTTTGCTTTACCATTGTCATTGTTGGACAGCAGTACTGCCTAGTCCATAAATGGAGGAGTTGTGGCAGAGGAACAGCCAAATCTCAGACCTTGCTGAGTTTATATTGTTGGTGTTCGGGGTTAGCCCTTCCCTGCTCATTATTTCTGATGGGAGGAAAATAAATTATGCCTGATCCAAGGCTAGTGTAGTTCCCCTCATCCACTCATTCCGGGGTTTCTAGGGAATGTGAAGGCTTTGGATACACAGGATCCAAACCTTCTCTTGGAACACCACCAGAATGCTGCCTTTTGCCTTCACTGCTTTGGAATGCCAATGGCAGAGATACCATGCCAGGTCCATTGCCTGACAAAGGTTTGTGAGGCTGGACCTCTGCCAGTGGACCTCTCTGCAGTCATAGAAGGAGATCTGCAAAATCCACTGGGCTCTGGGACACCCTGAGTCATTGTGCAGTGCTTAGCGTGCTGAGCTGGAACTGGAGAGGCTCAGGTTGAAGTTCCCACTTGGCAATGAAGCTCCTTAGTGATTTTGGGCCAGTCATGGACTCTCAGCCTAACCTACCTTACAGGGGTTCTTTGAGGATAAAATGAATAGGAAGTGGATCATGTAAACTGCCCTGAATTTCTTGCAAGAAAAATAAGGTGAGATATAAATGTAACACTCAATTAAAAAAAAAAAAAAAGAATGCACCCTTATTGAATTCATGCTGGTGTTAAAAATCTAATCAGCTGTATTGTTCAATCAGCATGTCAAATTTATTGTTGGTATCAGTTATAATATCCCTTATAAAATGATAATGTGAGTTAAGGTGGATTTTAATTGGTGTTCATTATCATAGTACTGTCTTATCAGATCTGTCTGGCAATAGCTCAGCCATTATTCTTATCTATGTAACATAGTTGTCTCAGTTGCCGAAAAAATGATGAGGGGAAATTATGTTCATGCAAATGAATGGGATTAGATACTTTAAAATATCTTGTATTATATATTTCAGTAAGTTGGGCAGAGCAATTCTAGAGACCTTAGGTAGCATCTAGAAGACCATGGGATTTTCCAGTTGCCAGAACAGAGTTTGGAAACTGCTCTAACCCGGATCACCAGTGAGCATGCAAAGCAAAAAGACATGCAAGTCACCTGCTTATAGTTTTCTCTACTCTAGTGAGATGTGTATGTAAATTATAATTCCCAAATTTGTACCCAAGTTAGCAGATAATAATCTGGATGCTTTTTTTGGTGACGTGTGAGTGAGTGCCCTTGCAAGGAAAATAAAATGCCAGGAAAAGACAAGAGCCGTGTGGCTGGGGGGGGGGGGGGCACAGAAACTTCCGATGGTGGGTGGCATTCAGTGGTGCAATTTTCCCATTGCCACCTGCATTCTAGAGCAGCACAGCTCCAATGGGATGCCATATACATTTTTTTCCAAAATGTAAACCTGCTGTTAGTAGTTTGCATACAGATTTTAAAGTGGCTTTATGTATCTGCTGCTAGTTTTTTCTTGTATGATGAGGAAAAAATAAAAACAAAGTAGGTGATCTTGTATTGTACTCATATTTAACTGAAATCCAGTTAAAATCCAGTTGAAATCCAGGTGGCAGCGGTCACAAGGTGTGCTTTCTTACAGCTTTGGCTGGTCCATCAGCCGCATCCTTACCTAGACAACCACTGCCTAGCAACAGTGATACATGCTCTGGTAACCTCCCGGTTGGATTACTGTAACGCGCTCTACGTGGGGCTACCCTTGAAAATGGTCTGGATATTTCAGCTGGTACAGAATAGAGCTGCCAGGCTGCTGATGGGGACTAGTCGTTATTTTCACATAACAGTCCTCTACCAGCTCCACCGGCTTCCAGTTGAAGTCCAGGCCTAATTCAAGGTGCTGATTTTGACCTATAAAGCCCTACATGGTTTGGGACCGGGATATCTGAATGAACGTCTCCTTCCTTATATGCCATCATGCCCCTTAAGATCTGCAGGAGGCCCTGCTCTGGGAACCCTCCCTGAAGGAGGTAAAAAAGACATCTACTTGGAGTTGGGCCTTTATCTGTGGTGGCGCCCAGATTGCAGAATGTGCTCCCTGGAGAGTTTTGCCTGGTGCCAAACCTATATTTTTTTTCGGCACCTGGTCAAAGCCTTTTTATTCAAGCATTATTTTAAAAATTAGTATTTCAATGGTTTTAACAGTCGCTTTTATTTTATTGGTTATATATTGTTTTATTATATATTGTTTTATTATATTGTGAAATTACTTCATTGGATACTGATTTTAATGTTGTAAGCCATCCTGAGATGTTATAAAGGACGGCATATAAAAGTTTTAAATAAATGAATATTGAGGCTGCAGAAAATTATATATGAAAACTGGTATTTTCACTGATTATCTCAGCTATATTACAGATTCATCTCATTTCTTTCTCAGTGGAGTGAAAATACAAACTTAACCCATTGCATTTAAGATCCTGAGAAAATCAAAACCACAAAAAGCAAATAGAAACAGATGTGCAGCATGAAGACAAGGACCACTCACAATTTAAATTTAGAAGGATGACCTAATTCTTCCAACTGCATTAAAACTAAGGAATTTCCAAAATAAAGCTACATTTCAGAAAATGCATTGTGTGAAAGCTGATCATGGATGGAGACCTCAACATGACTGAGGGCCATGACTGATCCATCTTTGTCATTGATGCTCAGCTGGCATCAGTGGCTCCAAATGCCCTCTACCATCTACAATTGGTGGCCAGCCACACCCCTACCTGGACAGGGATAGCCTGGTTTCATTAATCTTCACTCTGGTAATCTCTAAATTAGACTACTGCAACACACTCTATAGTGGGTCTGTCCTTGAAGATAATTCAGAAGCTGCAGCTGGTGCAGAATGCGGCAGCCAGATTAACAACTGGTTTTGGCCCATCTGCATTGGCTGTCTGTATGCTTCTGGTTGCAATTCCAGGTGGTAAATCTATAAAGCCCTACAGCTTGGGACTACAATAACTGTTGGGGTGCCATTCCCAACCCCGCTTTACCCAGACATTTCATGCCTCTTCCAACCTCAATCTACCCAGACACTATGCTCAGCCTCTGGGGTCTTCCTCCAGGTGCCAAGCCTTGAGAGGCTTGGAAGGTAGCAACTAGAGGGGGGGGTTTCAGTGATTGCTCCCCATCATTGGCATACATTTCCTGCTACAGCCTGCCTGGCCCAAATTTGCCATCCCTTTGGTGCCAGGTTAAGACAGCCCTCTTTGCAGAGGTCTTCAAAGACTTCTCTTGGGCATTCAGGGGCCCAATACAATTAGCCAAGTGCCTTTTTAGTCTTGGCCAGGGCTTTTTAATTATCTTTGTTCCCTTAAATTAATTTTTACTGTTTATTGTATTTTATTTTATTGTACACTGCCCAGAGAGCTTCGCTACAGGCAGTGTATAGAAATGAAGTAAATAATAAAATGCTGTTTAACACATATGGAGCTCAAAGGTGATAGCTCAAGCAGCCATCAGTACTGGTGTTAGCCATGCTATGCCTCTCCTAATCTTTTTAAAAGTTAAATAGTAATAATGTTAGTGTTCGCTAAACTGGAAACAAAGGAGCTTCAGAGGAAGAAGAATGTGTACAAGACAGCTAAAGCACTTTTAAATCTATTGATTTTAATCAAAGTGTTACCTGCTTCACTTTCCCCAAAATTAATGACACAAGATTATGCTTTTATGTTTAGTTAGGTGGTGCTCATAAACCTTAAACATCAACCTGCCAAGCTTATAAAAGACAGGTTCTGCCTCATTATAAGAAAATGAAGAAATGCATTTGACAAATAAGGCTGGGCACTGACAGGCAATTTTATTCAAATCTTTTAAACAGAGGTTACAAATATATGCAAGACCATATTTAAAACATCCCTCGCCCAAACCTTGTGGCATTACAGTACTCAAACTGAAAAGACAGTGTGTATAAAATTAAGTGCTATATACAAATATTGTTTCATGTTTGCCATAATTTGTCCTAGAATAATGAAGGTTCATTTTGCAAGTGATGCTGAAATTCTCCTCATTCCAATGCAAAATATTAAATGTGAATATGGTAAATGGAACAATGGTTTTCAAAAAATATTTACAGTTCAGCTCTGCCTTCTGAAGGATGAGGTCAAGGTACAGAAAGGAATCAAAAAGGCACGCTATGGCATGCATTAAGGCCAGAAATGCCAGCCTTTATTCCTTTTGACTTTTGCAAAGGTCTTGCAACAAATTTAGATTAAAATGTTAATTTGATGGACATATTGTTTTAAAAGGAAAAATTCTTATGCTGAAAGTTATCTGATTCAGAGTTAGCCCATAAACAAGCAAATTATGTGCTCATACCTGTATATCATAGCTATAGACTTGATGGACAGACTATTAAAAGAAATGATTTTTATGAGTAAAGTTTATTCCTGTCCCTCTTAAAGGGCTTTCCTATTCCCATAGATCATTTAGGAATGCAACACTTTTTTGGGGTGGGTGCATTTCAAAAACAGGATAAAGATCTGGATGGAATATTCAAGAAATCAAAGCCATCCTACATAGCTAATACACAACTTTAAAAGTTGATCATAACACTATAATACAGTTAAAATTTGAAAAAAGGGCATACCAATTCATCATATCCTCTAGAGTATTCAATTTTGTTTTGTTGATCCATTTGAAGACCTACCTTTAAAAACAAGAAAATACTTGCTTTTTAATTTGTGTGCGCATCAACTTCTGAAGCACAGGGCAGATTAAAATTCCTGAGGTCTTGATGTGTGGCATGTCTCTGTGTTATAAACCTTAATACAATTCTGTCCAAATTCTTCTTGTCCAGTGCCAAGTACACTACGGTTAGTGCCACCCATGTGAGAGATGACTGCTTACAGGCACAAGCTGAGCTAAGTTGAAGGTTAAAAAAGGCAAAACTGAGGATGCTGCAGCTGATGGTATTGTGGAGGCCAAAAAGCTGATCCCAATAGAGATCTTTTCATAGCAAAGACACTGCAAGAGAAACCACACTCATGATTTACATGTTGTTTCAGGTCTGCAGCTTTCCCATGATGAAAAGACCATTAGGGTTCTTTCAGTGTGCTTATCTGCATTGTGTTCTGAAATATGCAGACTGTTCTCTCCCAATGTAGTCCTGTACACTAAAGCACACTGTTATGGTATAATGCAGCTTGATTTGAACCATCAGAAACCAAACAAATTCAATCCATTATATGCTTGATGTGCAGATGTGAACGATACCCCCACATAATACATCATACATTTGAAAAACAAACCTGGAAAATTAGACCTGCACCTGAAAACATAATAGTTTCTTTTCCCTGAGAGATATTTAAAAAGGTCTTTGGAATGTAATTATTGTGACGGACAAATGTTAACATGGTGAGATTTTCTCTCTCCCAAGCAACTTAGTTTTATGGCATTGAGATAATTGAGCTATTTTTTAAAGAAATAGAGTAAAAATATCAATATAAAATTATCACAAAAAGCACACCTTTCTAGTATGTCACTCAATCCAGTCTCACAAAATAGACATAAAATGAAGTTAGTGTAACACCTGAATACATCACAGGGAAATATAAGGTACATTTTCTCTGCATGCATGCTAGCAAGTTACTATACTTGAATTTCAGGAGGCAAAGAGCACAGCAAAGTGACATCTCAGACCAGCACTGCAGCAGATACAAAACAAATACATACTACAGGTTGGATCCTGAAATTTCTTCCATGAATGGAAGAACTTTTATGTGCCAAAAGACCCCATTCCAGCAAAGGCTTCTGCTAGGGGATGGGAGATGGGAAGATATTTTCACCAATTTTCCTTCCCCTCTGGAGCTTCTCTTCCAGGGGGTCTGCCAATATCTAGACCACATTTTAAGGTCTGCAGAAGAAAAGGGAAATCCTCAGAAATTGTCTTCCCACCCTTCCACTGACAGAACACCCTGCAAGTAGAATCTTCTTCACTGGCTGTGCCTAGAACTTCAGGATCAAATCCTGTATTTCCACATGATATTTCATCGGCTTTAGTGACTAAGTACATTGGAATACGAACAGTCTTCAACTTAGCACAATGTTTAAAAGATGTCCACTAATGAATAAAGAGCAAGTATAAAGTGTTATTCCACTCCAGCTCATAATGTTAAACTTTCTACTTTTTGTAAAAATATCTGTACTCAGTGAGCCTGTCCACATGTCATGGTGGTAAATTGTGGGTTAATTAACCTACAATTTACAGGGAATCGAGTGGGAGAGCCATCTCTGGTTTTAGCAAACAACCTACAAATGCCCTGTCCAAAAAGATTGTTAGTATATCTGAACCTGGACTGTCCAGGTTGTATATTGGTTAAACAACCCAGCATTAACCCAGTAACATATAATAGATTAACTCTGGCTTGGCTAAACCATTAAAAAACCAGAATGTTTGAGCTTGTACACCATGCTAACACCCATGAACAGGGTATTCATAACTTGTTTACTGAAACCAGAAATAGCTTGCGTATTCCCTGCATGTCCACAAACTGTGAGTTAATGACCCATCACTTGGCATGAAGCTGTGAACCAGATCAGTCTGCAATTGTCTCAATTGCCATTTCCCCTGAGTTGCTTATGACCTAATGTACATCTTTGAAATCTTCTACCAGCAATACATCAGTACTCCAACTGGGGAGAGGCGGGAAAATTCAGCATGTAGGGACACACCCAGGTATTGAAAAATACCTATCCCAAATAATAAAGTTCTACTACTGCCTCAAGCTTAGAGGCAAGCACTAGAAAGCTGTATTTGTATAGGCAAGCATATGCATACATAATAAGCAGAACACATAATTGGCAACATCCATTATGCTGAATTTAACAATTTGCATAGTTCTTCCAAGGCTTAATTTCTCCTTTAAATCAACCCAGTTGTATTCTACTTTGTATATGCAGTTAATTTCATTATTAATTCAAAACATTATAAAATAAATGGAGTCCAGATGGCATAGTCGTGGGATATTCTAACCCAGTTCAGGAGCTTCATGGTGGAATTTCAATTTTGTTTATGTAGAAAAAAAATACTTAATTCTTCCGTGCTACTTATAAACAGAAGTGAATACTTAACTCTGAAATCATTTTCCACTGCAATAAAAAGTGGTGCTTTACATGTGATACTTTTCACTAACAGCCTTCTACAGCAATGTGAATACATGTGTGTTCAATAGTGAACACACATAAAAAGCTCTATTTGTTGCTCTTTACAAAAGTATTTAAGAACTACTGTTCAAGAACAACGTCATGGAGAAATAACCCTTACTAGTCTAAATATCTTCTTTTGCAGCCACTGAATATATTAACACACTATCCACTTACCTTTCTGCTCATTAACTTAGACTTCAAATTTTTCATGAGATGCATGCATGGATTTATCAAATCTCTATTTAAGACTTAAATCTGAATTTCTTAAGTGAAGAGTGAGTCCATACTCATCTGTGGGCAGAATGCACATGGCTGTAGACCTTGGTTATCCTCCTTTCCACCTAACCTTTTTTTAGAACTATGACAAGAACCACTCAAAAGGATTCTGCCTGTATGCACAGGGCCTCTCAAACTCAGACTTTGTCCAAGCACAGTTGCATGTGCTCTGTCACTCGAAGGGGAAGTGTTTTTAATAAATGTTCTTCCACAATTAGACAACTTCGTTTCAGAGAGTTACATTCCTCTAGCTCAGCAGGAAGTGATTCCAAGTAGTTTCCTTTTAGCTCCAACTGAACAAGATTTGAGAGTTCACCAATTAGAGGGGACAAATGCATGAGACAGTTAAATCCAAGAAGGAGATGCTGTAGCTTTCTGCACTGAAATAATTCATCTGGAAGAGCATCAATCTAAAGAGACAAAAAAAGGATGCATTGGAAGTTCCTTAGTATATTTACAAACAAAAACAATCTATTCATGTTTTCCTTATTAACAATTACTGAAATCATGCTGATGTAATGCTAAGAATTTACCATGCGATGTGGGGTGGGGAGAGAGTGAAGGTTCTTTCCTGCCCACCTCACAAGTAGATGGCTGAGAAAATGGCTGAGTTTACTTGCACAAAACACCCTGGCAACAAATCATGGCAGATGGGTTATTCTTTCAATGAGCCAAACAAACATTTGGGCTCATTGCGGATACTTTGCCCCCTCTTTCCTTTTCCTCTATTCTTGCAGGTAGTGCCTGAGGATACACTGTGGAGAAGAACAAGTCTGCTCTTTGACAGTTGTGATTGGCTCACTGCAGCCATATTGCTGTTTCCCCCCCCCGTGAGATGGCAAAAGCTGGCAGCAGAACGAGCTTCTGCCAACCCTTCAAGGCACAGGCACGAGCTGCTGCTTTAGAGTGTCCTCAGGCACAGTGGAAGGTTGTCCTGCTCATTTTCTGAACTCAGATTTCCACTGAAATGTAAGAATTTACTCACTCCTGAAGAACCCTTCATATAACATCTCACTGGAAGCTATGATGGCCTCTTCTCAAATCATTCTCTGTAAAATAAACTTGGTATGTGCACTGCAGTCCAAGATACCCATTTAATAAATAAAATAATACCTATAGGTATGACATACTAATCACTTTGCTAACACATCAGTACAAATCAACTAAGGGCAATCCCCTCAGCTGAATTTGCAGAGATAAAATCAGAACCAGTGGGAATATGGAAAGGAAAAGAAAGGTAGACAAGGGTGTGGAGCTTTCTCAAGTTCAGTATGAACAAATATTTCCTTCTACTTACATGGTTCTTTGTCAAAGCAAGGTATTGCAGGTTTGTTAAATACTGGATCTCATCGGGAATAGAGGTTAGCTTGTTATAACTAAGGTCCAAATAATGTAGCTGTTTGCAAAGAAAGAGTTGTGGTGGCACTTTTTTAATGTTGTTGTGATTTAAATACAGCTGTTCCAGGTTTGCTAAGATTCCAATCTGCACTGGGATGTAGGAGATGTTGTTGTGCCACAATTTCAGGCAAGAAAGGTTCTCAAGGTGTTGAAAGCTAATAATTTCTTCTACTGTTCGAAGATTATTTTCTTTCAGGTCTATTTCACGCAAATAGTTCAGGCTGAAGATGGAATGTGGAATGCGCTCCAAGTCACAGCTGATCAATTCCAATGTTCTCAGGTTAAGCAGTTTCTTCAAATTTGTCAACACGAGCAGCTTTTTCCCCTCATTGTCGATAGATAACTTCTGCAGTAAAGGCAATTGGTCTGTAACCACCTGAGGTATGCGGGAAAGGCTATTCTTTAAGTGAATTGTTTTCAGGTTCACAAGATCCTGAAAGCCCTCATTGTATAGGCCATTTAGGGGCTCTTGCACGTAGTGTCCAGTCAAATACAATTCCTGTAGATTTCTTAGATAGAAGACCCATCGTGGAATCTTTCCCAGGTCAGCTGATTTTAGACGCAGGATTTTTAGATTCTCTTCTAGGAAATGGAGTGCTGGGAATTCTACAGTTAATGACGAATAATAAATGTTCAGCTCTTTGAGATTGAGTAGTTGGGTTACAGATGAAGGAAGCTTAACTTCAGGAATAAGTTCTAGGGTTAGAACTTCTATCTCTGTAAGTTCAAAGACATCATCTGGAAGACCACTAAGCATAAAAAGATGAAGTTCTATCTTGTCCTGGGAATTTCGTACCAGCTTGTTTTTCAGTCTCTCTAAAGACCATTCATTATTTAAACTGATCTGCTTCAACTTATTTTCACTCACCTCAGAGAGGAATATTGAGAACCGCTTTGAGTACAGTGGATCATACTGGTCTGCTAGGTGAAGAATAAAGGCAAAGTCATTTTTTACATCAGGGATGTCACTGTAATTACTTTGCTCCCTTAATTTTTCAAAAGAATATTGTTTGAGTGAACTTCTTAGCATCCATAGCAAACTGTATGTGCATGTTAGACCATACAAGCTCACCAGAACAACATAAAATGAAGCTAGTACTTTAAAAATTTCTGCTAATGAATATACACACTGGTATCTTTTGTAACCAGTAAAGACTCGAATATCAACTATACAGTCAATTTCTAGCGTAATAAATGTTAAAAAATAGGGTACGTAAATCATTATTAATATAAATACAATGACCTTGACCACAATCTGTTTTAGGTACACCCGGTAAATGACATCCTTTTGTTCAACATGCACCCTGAATCTTTTCACTTTTTCAAATATTGACTTTGCTTGTTCCCCTTCTTTTCTGTCTAGAACATTTGAAGGGCTCTCTCTTCCAGTCGTTTCTAGTCCAGTCTGTGAGTAGGACACTGACTGCTGCTTGCTTTCTAGTTCTGTTAAGTTGCTTGGGGAGGAAAGAAGTGTTTTAGACTTGAAGAGTGGAAGAGTTCTCACAGACTGTTCAGCAACTGTTTCTGAAAGAGCACGTGTTGTCCAGGGTGAATCAAAACATTTGTGAAGTATGGCTACAAAATGCTCCAACCTCGAACTTGTGCTGGGGTAGTAAAGCCAAAAATTACTGCAAGCTGCAAAAATAAATGTATGGAGAAGCACTAAGTATGGAAAAAACTTGGCAAACCAGTGAAGTTCTTTCTCGTAACATACAGCATCAATGTACGAATACTGCTGTCGATGAAGGTAATTCTGGATTCTAAGAGGGCGAATTATTGGTGTTGCAGGGCTGAAGGATACATTAATGTTGTTTTTAACCAGATCCCAAGGCACTGCACAACGATTATCAAACTCAAGCTTGCAAGGAAGACAACACAGCAATCTAGTTTGAGTGAGCTGGAGAGCCCCAGCAAGAACAGCAACAAGCAGCATTATCATGGTGAGGTAATAGCAGAAGACATCCCACCATGGTTTCAAAATGTGATACGATGACTGGGCATCTGCTAAACATCTGAGTTCAGTTAATGTAATCATGACTTGTTTATGGAATGGTGGCAACTGGAAAAGAAAACAACAATATATCATTAGCTGATCAGAAAGTAGAGTTGCTATTCCTTTCAATAACAACTTGGTTCTTCACAGCATATCCCACAATGAATTAATCCCACAGTTTACCATTGTGATGGGCACTACTTAAGGTAATGGCATAATTAAATCAAATGCACAATCAAAGTCTGAGGAGCAAATAGGATGAATCATGTCTTATATAATATTATTCCATCATTATTGTGCTTCCCCGCCATGCATATTTCTTCTAAATTTCTAAGCACAGAAATTAATGTTTCTCTTACACTGAATGTTTCTTGACTTAAAGCAGGGGTGCAAAAAGTGTGGTCCATCTCCCCCAAGTCTTGTCTGAAGATGCCCAAATCCAAAGTATTTGTTATTGCCAAAATTCGAGTGGGGGAAGCTCCAGACTCTATGGTTCCTTCCATATAACCCTTGTTCCTAGGCAGTCCCTAACATGTACAGTAGGAACCATACAGCAATCACTAAATTGTTTTTCTACTCTCTTTTTGGCAAGCATGTTTGAATGGCTGGGAAGGGTTTTCAACATCTTGAGGTTGCAACATGGCACCTCCAATTTGGAGGCATCAAAAGTGATTTCGGAAATGGAGCTGTTATCACAAAAACAAGAGAAATACTGTTTTGTAAGCCTACACATGGGCCTAGAAGAGGCCCTCTTGTCTACTGCTATTGTCTATGGAAATTCAGTGATGCATATTGAAAAGATGCTTATATTAACTGAACTTCATGTATAACACAGTGGATATGTATGCTTAGAACTATTTCTAAATTCCCTAAACCTAAAATCTATTTGCAGACC